AACAAAAAATATGTTTATTACAGATTATCAAAGCTATGTATAAAAAAGATTCTTTAAATTCCTTTCCGTATATTTTTAAACGATATATGCAATAATTTTGGCCATGTGTGTAGAATTCTATATCTTATGATTGTTTACAGCCTTAATTGATTAACTAACAGTAGAATTGCTTGATGAGCAATACTGGTAACATCATCAAAATATATAGAGCTGGTTGGGAAAATTATTGATTGACCCGATGTCAATAAAAGTATGATCCACGGACATTTTTAAAAAGCAATGTACCCTTATTGATTTTAATAGAAAACTGTAAACAATACTTTAAATAGTTTAACACCGTGGATAATAAACCTAGCTCAGATCCTAGCTTTTTCTAATATTACTAAAAATAATAAAGAAAATTGTGTTTTTTTTTAAATAAATCCAACTCATTCAAACTCAAAATACAAATTTTGAAAGATCTCACGTGAGAATAGCGGTGTGGGGAGGGGATCGGGACAAATATCATGACATCTCATGAGAGGTGGTCAAAAAATCCTCAAAAATGACTCACGTAATTAATGGATGTCCCCTTCAAATCATGACAATTTTCAAAATATTTATTAGTTCCGGAAGTTCTCAAAAGTTTTCAGAAATAATTCAACCTCTGGTGACATTACGAGTGAAAATTTGTTTCAATTTTGTCCTTACCGAAATTTGATCGATTAGAAAATATGGAAAAGCTCTTTAGGAAATTTACCACAATGGATTTCTCTATCGAAAACCGATTCGAAAATTCACCCTGACAGATCGCACAAATCGAAAAGCTATTAAGAATCAATAAATGCGACATTGGCGGTGCGATTTCGCCAGAATTCGTAAACGCCAGTTGACATGAACGCTATTCCAGTTTACAATGCGTGCTTGAAAGGGGTGTGCGCCCGTGGAGGTCCCCGCACAACAGGGGAGGGGAGTGTGCAACAATGCCAGGAATTTTCTGGATTCAGCCAGGTGAAATACCGGCAGTGCATTGGTTCGGAAAAGAGTGGGACTCAATTTGCCGCTGTTGTTGTGGTTCGCGTTCGAAATAAAATTAATTTATTTCGGGGTCTGGAAACCAATTAAGGGCATATTTCGTTATATGAGTTTATTTTTTTTGCTTTGAATAATTATTATTAATATGTATAAATTTAATTTGAAGAATTGATAGTCTCTAAATGAAAAATAAAATAACATTTTCTAATTAAAGAAGGCATCCATTTTTCTCAAAGAGACCTGGTTCAAATTAAAAAAGTAGAAAAAGACTGAGTCTTTTTTCTACGACCGAGACTTTGAATCTTTTTTCTACTTTTTTAATTTTCTAATTAGACCAGTCGCCAAGTATTAAAAAATAGCTTATAGCGGGAGCAAATCCGGACAAGCTAGAATAAATTTTATTTTGTTTAGTTTAGTGTAAGGAACCACGTGTTAAATTTGCACCACCCTCAAAGCCCGGATTTGGCCGCCATCTTGGAAAGTGTGGCTAAAATTCGGTTTATTTTTCATTATTTGTCAATAGCTCGATTTCTATCAACTTTAGTGCAAAAAATGTACAGACTAAAATCTCTAACTCTATAAAAAACGTTCTATGTACTTTTTCCGTGCGACGACCCGTTTCCAAGTTATATCGGTTTAAACAGGCTGAATATATTATAAGCAGTTATTTCCTCTATTCTAGGCAGTTTTTGTCTTTCCGAGAACACTTTTTATTTCTCCACGCATTTAGTGGCTGCGACACCACATCCGCATTATACAGACAAGGAAAAATGAAATTTTTCTTTGTCTGTATAATGCTGTATAATGCTTTTCAAAACGATAAAGACCACTTATTTGGAGGCTTGCTAATGCCAAGTGACCATTTTTTTATTTAGTGTCCTCATTGGAGGCTATTTTTATAAGCTTTGTATGTAACTATCTATGTATGTTTTTGCGGGGCAAATCTTGTAAGCTAAATTAGAACCACTTCCTTTTATTATAGGAGATTGAAATTTGGCATGTAGGTTCAGACCCGATGACAATACATTTTTTGCAAGGCATGACCCGAATTTTTGACAGCTGTCAAAATGGCGGCATTTTTGAGGTTTTTGATTTTTTAAAATTCTATTTATGAATGGATCGGGCTAAAATTATATATATAGGTATATTGTGGGTATATACATAAGAAAAAAATATATTGACGGCCATCTTGAAAAAATGACAGTTTAATGACATGTCAAAATTTCAAAGTCAACCGATTTTCCTAAAAATTGATATATAGGATGGCCATGGGCTAAAATGAAAGAAAAAAATTTTGAGCTGTCAAATTTGACAGCTGTCAAAAAAATTTCAAAGTTGTCCGATTTTGATAAAAATCGATATATTGGATGCCCCCTACCCCATAGTCGGTTTTCATTTTATTTGTCTCACATTTGAACTGTCAAATTTGACAACTGTCGTTTTTTTTAAGTTCTCATTTTTTAATGAAAATCGATATACATATTATATCTTTTAAATCTTTTATCTAGTTTAAATGTGTGGCACTGAGAAACCAGCATAACTAAAAAGTAGAAAATAAATTTTACAAAAAAAACTTTTTTTAAAAACAAGCTTTTATTTAAATTTAAATACACTAAAAAGAATAAAATAAACTTTTTCTTTAAAACTTTTATTATGAACTTATAACGCCATTACACAATTTTAATATTATATAAAAGCTTGTCGCGAGATTTCTCTACATCGATAAACAAGTAAATTAACTAAAACCTGTGTCTACCCTGTCTCATTTTCAAAGTTTGTGTTATGATAGACCACTAGACCAGGAATTACAAGATAAAGTTGTCGTACTAGATTTTTATGAGTGCAACTGTACACTCAAATCTCGCGGCAAGCTTTTATATATTAATATTAAAATTGTGTAATGACGTTATAAGTTCATAATAAAGGTTTTAAAGAAAAAGTTTATTTTATTCTTTTTAGTGTATTTAAATAAAAACTTGTTTTTAAAAAAGTTTTTTTATAAAATTTATCAGAACAATTTTGAAGAACTTTCGTTAAATGAATGTTTCGTTATATTATGTAAATTCGTTAAATTATTTCAAACAATTAAATTCAACCATTCTTGTCAAAATTTTCCTATAATGTATTTTTTGTTAAAATTATACGCAAAAGTTAATTTATTAATACCTTAAAGAATATTAATAAGAACTTAAATGTAGCAAACAAAAACCGAAAGCTCCTAATTTGGAAACATTCGTAAATAACTATAACTAATCAATGTACCTATTTCATTTTGCTGTTATTTCTAGAAATAAATTAATTAATTTGTTTTTTAAATGTTTTTCTTTGAGAATGCATATTTATTTAAAGTCAACAATTTAAAAAACGTGTATCTAAATTATGTTCTAGCACCAGTCGAATAATTTTTTACGTCACGTGTAAAATTTTTTTTAATACATCTCTGGGCTGACTGCCGCTTACGCGGCTATTGGTTGTGGCGAGAGAGCTCGCCGCTCTATTGTTCTCCCTCTTTCGAATCGCAAATCCGAGCGTAAAAAGATCAAAGCGGCACGCTACACTGTCCGAGCTGTTTTTTACTTAAGCTGTGACCAAACTAAACAAAATAAAACTTATTCCAGCTTGTCCGGATTTGCTCCCGCCATCGATGCACTTGCCGACTGGCCTAAATCCAGATTAATACACATAGATTTAAAAATGTTGTTTTCACCTGATTCTTCGAAAATAAACTTACTTTCGTCAAGACTAGACACAAATTAATTGATCATTTTGTGTATGCTTATAAACAGAGCTGCAACAAGTCAGTTGCAAAAGACTTAAATCTTAAGCGTTAAGTAATATGCAAAATCAAAAAGATTTAAATCTTAAGTCAATTTTAGCATAAATTTTAAATAATTTTAAAGTATTTAACTTAAATAATCTTCTTTCAGGTCAAGTTATTTTAGTCAAAGGATATGGAAAAATGCAAAAATTTCTACTAATTAAAAATTAAAAAGTAAAACAAAGAAATAAGAAATAACTTTGAACTAAGAAGGCTGGGATAAATCTGTGTGTAGCATATTTAGTTTCATAATAAGTAGAACAATGATGTGAAAACGGCATCTACTCATAAACCAGAAACCCCATAAGACACACAAAAATGGGACATCCTGTACATCTAGCAATCGCCAGTCGATATAAAAATAATTCACACACAGTAGTCTAAAAAATGGAAGAAAAAAACAATATTGTCTTCATATTGTGATTTGTGACATGTCCATATTTATGTAATCGTAGCGACAAAAATAAAAAAACAGAAATAGTGTGCATGATGCCTTTACAAAAATATCTGTAGAAATGGGGATTGACATCAACGTTTAATTAGTATGTCATATTTCATAGTTTCGATATAAATTACATAATAAACTTTACTCTATTGTTGACTCGCTTTGTACATTCATACTGATATACCTTGTACGTGATACTGAAATATTCGGATTTATTAAAAAAAATATATATTATTAAAATTCAATTTTTATTTTTGCATACATTATGTTGTTGCATAATCGACTAATTTCCAAGCATCGAATGGACGAAGGAAGGAAGCGAAGGGACGAAGGAACGAAGTGAAGTGACGAATTAACGCGAGGAAGGGACGAAGGAGCGAAGTGTGAGTATGGGGCATTAACATTTCTGAGAGCATCGACGATTAAACTTGTTTCAACAAATATGCGCACATACACAATTTTTTTACATTAATTTTGTCTTATAATTGGATTGTGTAATCTATTGGCAAAAACAAAAAATACATCATTAATTGAATGTCTCACACGTTTGCAACTCCTGACAAAAAAAAAACATGTAAGAAAAATCTGTAATCTTTTCTCTATCTCCCCTTCCTAAATTGTTGTCGTTTACGCCCGTTTTCCTCTGGAAACCCAGGCCACCGACCTGGATATTTTATATATATATTTGGCCTCCCTAATCGGATTTTTCCCTTATTTCCTTACCTATATCGGATGATCCTCCCCACGTGCCTTGTTGGGCTTGTTTAGCCAGCTTGCCGATGGCGTCGATGTACAATCTGGAAGCAGCCGCCGCACCTGGAAAAGAAAAATAAATTCGTATAGAAAATATGTTTTTGGACCAAATTTAAGGTTATTTTTTGTGAAAATGTGATATATAGTCTGTCCAACTAGAAGATCCTTGACAGTGATAGATGTGTCTGTCATTTTAATTTCAAAGTAGTTTATTTTATTTTACAAAGAAATAAGTTGGTACAACTGGAACGCATAGCAGGATATATTTAAAATTTGATTGACAAGATGACAAGTGATTACTTCAAAATATTGTGAAAAAAAACTGTATAAAACTGAAAAAATGAATGTAATCGAGTTATTTTATTTAATAAAAACGGTATGTGTTAATACAAAACAAACAAAAACAAGACACTACATACCAAAAAAAATATGAAAAAGAACTATTATTTACTTTCAAGCTTTAGGAAACTACCCGTATTTATGATTGTATTTATCAATATAACTTATGTACAAATACAAATTTGTAATATTCCACAGGAATAAATAAAACAACATAGGTAAATAAAACAAACTATTTTATTAATAATAACACCTACCAAATTTTATACCTTAAAGGTTGATTAATTAACTTTAATCTTAATTTTTTTAAACCAGTACCTTTTGACATTATTTTTCTGCAGTACTAAAATCCATTATTTACCTATCGTGTGATATCGATATTTTACAGCTACTCCAGTTTTTAGTATGTGTTTAGTTTGATCCTTCTACCATATACAAGATGCACTTATCTACGACGAAATGGTATACAAACTTTATCGATAGCAACTTCATTGGTGTATAAGACTTTCTGCCCTGGCAGCGAGTATTAACCATAAACTGTGCTCTGGGTCTACAGTTAATTTTCACTCGATTTTTCCTCCACTTGACTTCAAAAGACACAAAACACACGTAATAATACGAATCAAAATGCATCATATTCCAAAACGCAGGGTATTTAACAAAAGTTGACACAAAATTATAACCTAGAATTTGGCAAGACTTTGACAAGCGTCAAAAATGACAAAAATCTAAAGGCGAGTTCATACGCATCGGCGTCCGTTTGTCGTTCATCGTTCCGTCAAACCAATAAAATTGAAATACGATCTGTCATTTTTAAATAAACCAATAAAACTGGTTAAAAACAACCAGACACGACGCATGACGGATTTATATTTAAACCCATCCATAGATAACTTAAAAATTATTAGAAACTTTTTTTAGTAAAATAAATAGATTGGTATGGGACGTCATCTGCTTTTCTTCTGTCATCGTCTGTCGAAATCTTACCTGAGAAAAAAAACAGAGTATACTTTATAAGGTGGAAGTTAACTAAGTGAAAGGTCATAATAACATAATAATACAGGTCTTACAACGTTAAACTATATAGGGTGGTGCGAATTGTATTCCGGAAACTTCCCCAGCATATTTTTCAGATAAAAATAAGTAAAAAATCCGTATAAATGTATGTCCTAAAATGCTTTGTTTCGGAGATGTAGTGTGAAATTTTTTCCCAATAATTTCTGAAGTAACGTCAATATTTGAATGAAAATTGGTGTCTGGGAGTTTTTTGACATGAAAAAATTAATTTTGATGTCAATATGACTCCTATTTATAGAGGGCGCCACATACATGTGTTTTAACTGTTTTGAAGAGTAATAACCTTTCGTCCGTACCTGTATAAAACAACTGGGTGAAAAAATATGCTTTTTCGTGATAATACGTGAAAAATGTCTCTTGGTAAAAATCGCTATAAGCAACAGTTCTCAATATATTTAGAACAGAAATAGTAAATACATGTCATTATTGACTAAAAATAAACATGTTGCGTAGATAGATATAGTTATTTGACCTGAAATGATAAATTTGGGAACTTTTTATTTTTTTTTAAATTAATTATAAATTTTTCTTGGAAAAAATAATGATAAAACAGTTTCTGTTGAACTTTTGGCACATAAACATTATAAATTTATGGTTTCAGTCTAACAACCATTCAGTCTGATGATGATTAATTTATGTCAATGATGACAGGTATTGATAATTTCGATTCCAAATATCCCGAGAACCATTACTCGTAGCGATTTTTATGAAGAGTCGTTTTTTACGTAAAAAACGTCGTAAATGTATATTTTTTTACTCACTAGTTTTATACAGGTACGGACGAAAAGTTATTACTCTTCAAACCGGTTAAAAATATGTAGGTGGCGTCCTCTACAAGTATCAAAATCAAATTTCTCATGTCAAAAAACTCAACTTTAACGTAACAACTTTTCCTTCGTACCTGTATAAAACTACTGGGTGAAAAAATATACATTTCCGTGATTTTTTCTGTAAAAAATGTTTCTTGGTGAAAATCTAGATAATTTTTAGATACTATACTAGAAATTCATTTACCCAGTAGTATTTATAAAAAGCATTTGTGGTAAAATCTGTCTCAAATAGTTTCTGAAAAAAAAAATATTTTTTTAAAAGGTCCGATTAAATTTATATCTCCGAAACTAAAGTTTCAAAAAAAGTCATACTATACTAGAAATTCATTTACCCAGTAGTAGTTATAAAAAGCATTTTTGGTAATCTCTGTCTCAAATAGTTTCTGAAAAAAAAATATTTTTTTAAAAAGTCCGATTAAATTTATATCTCCGAAACTAAAGTTTCAAAAAAAGTCATACTATACTAGAAATTGATTTACCCAGTAGTAGCACAGTAGTAATTATAAAAAGCATTTTTGGTAAACTCTGTCTCAAATAATTTCTGAAAAAAAAAATAATTTTTTTAAAAGGTCCGATTAAATTTATATCTCCGAAACTAAAGTTTCAAAGTAAAAAAAAAGATCTCAAGATATTTAGAATGAAAATAGTTAATACATGTCATTTTTGGCAAAAATAAACATATAGAAGAGATAGTTATTTGACTGAAATGATAAATTTGGGGACTTTTTATTTTTTTAAATTAGTCATAAATTTTTCTTCGAAAAAATGACGATAAAACAGTTTCTGTTGAACTTCTGGCACAAAAACATTTTAAATTTATGATTTCGGTCTAATAACTATTTATTCAACATGTTTAATTTATGTCAACGATGATAGGTATTGATAATTTTGATTTCAAATATCTCGAGAACTATTACTCGTAGCGATTTTAACAAGAGACTTTTTCTACGTAAATGTATTTGTTTTACTCTGTAGTTTTATACAGGTACGGACGAAAAGTTATTACTCTAACTCTAAACTAGTTAAAAAATATGTAGGTGTAGCCCTCTACAAGTAGGAGTTATATTGACATCAAAATCAAATTTCTCGTGTGATAAAACTGCCAGACACCAATTTTCATTCAAATATTGACGTTGTTTCAGAAATTATTAGGAAAAAATCGAAATAAAAATGAAACTTCTACACCCTGTATCTCCGAAACTAAGCACTTTAAGACATACCTTTATACGAACTTTTTTACTTATTTTTATTTGCAGAATATGCTGCCGAAGTTTCCGGAATACAGTTCAGACCACCCTGTATATTACAGTTATTTGAACATTCAAATATGTTGGTCCACTTATATTTTACCCTCCAAAGTAAAAATACTGAAAGGCTTGATTCTGATATTTTTGATTCTGATTCAGCCATCAACTCACTGAGCGAAGTAGAAGATCGTTTCATTAATAACTTATGTTTAACTGAGAATGTGTATTTATGTTTTTAATAAATATTAATTTATAATAAATGATATGATTATTTTAATTCTATGGTTTTAAGTTTTAATCATATGACGGTTTACTTTAACTAGGTATAGCTATATAACTTTTGTACCAAATTATTAGCTATCGACATTGTTGACATTGACGACATCACTTAAAAAGTTATTATGTTTCATTACTTTTTTTGTTTCATTTTAGAATCCTCTCCTAAGATTCAAAAGAATCTCACTGGAATACAAGTCACACATTCTTTTTACAAAATTTGTACATATTGTATAAAACCAACAACAAAATAAACACAAAATTATATAAAATAAACTCCTAGGCTTGCCTAGGCTACAGTCGAAAAAAAAACGGCGTCAGCGATGGCTATGAAATAAAAATCGTCATTTTATAATATTTTATATGTAAAATTATATAGCAAATTTCATCGAACGTCATTTCCAAGGCAACTGGACACCTTTTTTTTTCGATCGTATCGCCATGTTGAATAGATACTAGTTATTAGACAAATAAAAAATTTGAAAACTTTTTTGTGTCAAAGGTTACACAGAAATTATTGTTTTATTATACCTTTTTCTCTAGAAAAAGTTGTGATTAATTTAAAAAAATGAAATGTTTCCAAATTTATCATTTTAGTCAAATTACAGTCTAGTCAACATGTTTATTTTGACAATGATGACATGAAAGTCTTAATTATTTCGATTTCATATACATATCTCGAAGAACGGTTGCCTGTGGCGGATTTTACCAAGAGAAATTTTTTATGTTAAAAATGGCAGAAACTCATTCATCGACATTTTTTTTTTCTCTCAGTACACACCAAAAATGTTATTACATTTACATTCAAAACAGTTAAAAATACTGCTTGTAGGTGGCGCCCCCTACAAGTAGGAGTCATAATAATATCGAAATCTAATGGTGGGTTCATACAGCCAAATAAAATAAAATAAGAATAAAATAAAATAAAATAAGAAAGTTGGTTATATGGGATACCGTACATGCGTTCATACAGCCAAATAAAATAACAAATAAAATAAGAAGTTTTTATCTTTTAACTTCTTGTTTTATTTTATGTGAAAACGGCTTTGCGCACGCTTAATTCTAACCTACAAATATTTTCAGTTTGGATTTAATTTATTTTATAATTTCACATAAGTAAAATGTATAATATAGTAGGCAACGAATAAATAAATATACTATAAATAGTAAAATTACTTTAAACAATCGTAAAAGTTAACTTTTATCCAGCCTCATCGTACTGCGCATGAGCAAATATATATTTCTTATTTTATTTTATTTGACTGTATGAACGCACACAAATAAGAATTCCTTA